ATACCCCCCCCCACCCCCCCCCAAATTAATTTTATGAGCAATGAGAAATTTTTTTCTCTAATTCAATCCAAACTATGTCCCTCTTCAAATACGGAGCAATCTCCTGGTAGTAACTCTTAGGTGAAACTATCAAATCGGCTGGTAATGTACTTCTGCTGCTTCAGTTGAAAGCTTTTTAAAATTCAACCTAACCTTTATCCTCTCATTTCCATTGCTAAGGCACCTGCATCATAACTATGCATTCGTTCTGAACTTGCTTACCAAGGTACCAAGCATAACAAACAGGGACGCATGGGTGGTTTAGAAATGTACATGTATGTATCTGGCAGATGCTTTAATTTAGAGCAACTTACAGTTCAATCATGTCACAAAGGGAGTCTAAACTAAGAAGTCTTACTCTTATTGGTATAGTGTAGCATGCTTGTCCAGGCGGAGAATCCAACCTCAGTATACCACACAGAGGGCAATGATGTTACCCACTTCACTATGAGTGCTCAGTCCTGGTCCTAGAGATCGACCACCTTGTAGGGTTTAGCTTCGACCCTAATCTAACAAACCTGATTCTGTAAACGAAGGCCTTCAGGAGTGTCTGAATATTAGAGCCAGGAGTGTTGGATCTGACTTCTCTATGGTGGTAGATCCCCAGGACCAGGACTGTGCCCTGCACTACACTGTATCAACATCATCAAGCAAGACTCTTCAGAACTCCTCAGAAGTACTCCTACTGGATGCTGTTATAAGATGGGAAACAAACACAGGTACTTGATAGTTCTGGATTTGGATTATTACAGTGCCATATCACACTGTCTGGTGGAAAAGTGCTACAAGCAAACAAAAACGGCCCTGCTTAACAAGATGAAGTAATTTACAATACACGTATCGACAGCTGTTGATTAGTCTACCTACTATTCACCACTATCTATCAGTAATAGGAACCTTTGCTCTGGTTTGAAATCGCCATCGCCAAAACCTCTTAAAATTCTGTAAAACTGATGGCCTGGATACTCCTGTCTCCTGTTCGCTGTGTCAAGTCATTACAGGGCACCAAGTCATTAGCTGATGGTGCACCCATTAATTATGGCTAAAGAGAGATGGGAAGAGGCAAAGGAGAGATGGATCACACATAGAAGGCCACAACTCAGGCTAGCTGCTTTTTTTTTATCCCTTTCTCTACTGGCTTTGGTGCTCGATACATCCATTCTCTGTCAAATCTTTGCTGAGCATTTAAGGTGCGAACCTAGCTGTAACTATAGCAATTATACATGAGGACGGGGGTGGACAGTAATAAAGAACATGTAATCCGTTAAGTGCCTTTTTCAAGTGCTGTTCTTTACTAGAATGACATTATTTCAATTCTGAGACTTTTTACTTTCAGAGTATTTTAGACTCCATTGCATTCATACAAAATCATGGTTGCAGCAGTCAGATCTCCCTAATGAAAACGATTCATTTGCATTTCTCTTTCTGTACAGAGTTTTTGCAAACAGATTTTGCAGACACATTAGTACCTTCTCACCTAAAACAACTAGATACAAATACAAATCACAGACATTTTCATTTCTACCTAAGTACATTTAAACTCATTACACAACATTTGTCCACTGCATAGTAATCACAGAAAAATATGTAAGTATGGTAGATATGTATGTGCTTATTTATTTAGATCAAAATAATCTTAAAGAATATCAGCATGTAATACAGTAATGCCTGACAACATAGCTAATATTACGAACTATTAAAGGATTACAATCAAAGCAAAGTGCCCGGCAATCAAACATTTAGGCCTTCAAAATCACCCATTCCCAGTGGGGGTTATCTTTTCAAGACTGTCCTTTGCTAAATGCAAATGCACCTAAGTAAGGTCATGAACATACTGCATGCAGTCACAGTTAACAGTAACTATTCAACAGACCTGTCATTTTCACAAAGTAATTAATCACTCATCCCAGTTCACCTACAGAGCCATGACACTCTTGTAAAACAGCACTGCTAGTTCAGACATTAGTTTAGCCTACATAATGCTGAACTTGATGACAACAAGTCAGAGGAAACCAAGAATTTGAGCCTTTTTTCAAGATGATATCGTCCTCTGGAGTGTTCATAGAGATAGCCTATTTGGTCAAACATGCTGCATGGAATCAAATTCAGTCACCAGAATTCACTAAAACTGAGTGATAAGGTTGAGACTGCTGAACAACATGGCACTGAGCAAATTAGTATACTTTAGGAAACACATTTTCGCTCACTCCATTTGTAGATTTCATGTCATCTTGATTAATGACAGTCACTGAAATGTCTTCAAACCAATTTATGAATGATCCAATTTATAATAATCCTTAAATGACATATAAATGCAGGAATCACACATATAGCTGCTCGAATAGGCTTAAAAGAAAAATCAATTAGCTCACTGTGCATCCACTGATATCACCGATCATAATCTCTTCAATTGTTAGGCTGGGTAAAGCTTGACTTCTCATCTCTGATCCTGTATACGGGTTAAGTAAATGTATCAGAGCAGGCTACTTGTACTGAGAGCATTTTACAACTCAGGAACATCAGCAATCCTTTGGGAGACAGTGTGATCTTGTGGGTGTTAGCAAAGCAGCAAAACAATTAGCAGGCTAGCGTGAGCTACTGTGGATTTTTTTCTTTTCCCCATTATTTGATTAATTGATATTTCACAGCATGCTGAGCAGAGGAGGGGGCTGACAGTGAAGTTATGGCAGGCATCAGAAGTGAGGCAGGCTAACGGACGCATGCTAGCTTCATGCACAGGGAGCGTCACAGCTCATTGTCCTTGAAAATTAATCGGAAAGAAACGACAAGCCTGGGGGAGGGCGATCTGCGCAGCACCAGGGCCTGAGCTCCTGAGTGGAATATTTATGTAACCCTGGCTAAGTGGCAACAGATGATATCTGTATTCCAACTGGATGGCAGGGCTTCTAATGGCCATGGTAAACAAGTCTATGCAGACGGCAATATGAAAAGCAAATGTAGCAGTTTCAGGTTAGATTTTTTTTTGGATGGTGATGTGAGAGAGCAGGAGGGTGATGGACTCCTGTAGAATGTTTCACTGATTCACCAGCAAGCTGAGCTGACATGTGGGCCGCAATGTTATTACAATGACCGCTGTGCTGGTGCCCATTTTTCAACAAGCTAATAGCCTGAAAAGCCGACACTCCTGGTGCAGTGACGTTTCAAACGCAGTCTGATGGTCTGCTCAACGCCTGGGAAAATGCTTTCATCTCTCACGTTCCAGGCCTGTGTCGGCACTGGTCTGGGTCAGCCAGCTTTCAAAACTCCCATTCAGATTGAGCAGGCAGTGAAAACTGTTGGTGAACGCGGACGATGCAAGCTTAAACGCACAGGCTGAAATCCGGAACGCTGTGTGGAAAAGCAAAGCACTGTGAGAGATGGGTGAAAATAACAGGGAAACACTAGCTGAATCGGCTTTTTAGCGGTACATATGAGTGTTTCAACACATCCACGCCACAGGAAAGAAATGTATATAGAACACACTCTCATTAGAGGGCTCTGTAATAATGAGCAAATGGGATTGAAACAACAACAAAAAAGAAGAAGCAGATAGATGGCTTGTTTCACTTCATTAGAGAGAGGCGGGTGGGAAGAGAGAGAGAGAGAGAGAGAGAGAGAGAGAGAGATGAGGGAGGAGGGGGAGCAACTCAACTGTGCTTCATTTAAACCCCAGTTGAAGCCCAGCCCCCTTTGAATATGAAAATGTCTCAGACACTGTGAAAAATCATGCAAAAGAGAGAGAGATACAAAGAGAGAACAGAGAAAAAGAGAAAGTGAGAGAGAGAGAGCAGAATAGCAGCAGGAGGAGGAGGAGGAGGGGGTGGAGTGAGCTAGACAGCGAGCAAGCGAGAGAGCGAGAGTGAGTGAGCAACTGAGAGAGAGAGAGCGATCTGGGCTGAATTGTGAGTGGCTTACGACACTCAGTGAACAGAAGGTGTTTCTGCATGCACTGGCAGCGCACTAGTCTGCTGCAAGGGCTCTAGCTCTGCTCTCTCTTTCTCTCTCTTTTTCTCTCTCTTTCTCTCTCTCTCTCTCTACTCCCCACACACCAGCCCTGCCTTTCAGCCTCTATGCCTCAGCATCTCCGCACGGCAACAGCCTCCTCAGCCCACAGGAAATGAGCAGCACCCAAAAGAGAGCTCGCTGGAAACCAGGCTACTAGCGGACACGCCACTTCGGGATACCAAAAAAGAAAAAAGAAAAAGAAAAAAAAAGCCAAGAGTACATGTCGGGGTGGCAAGCATTCAGCTCAGATGAGTGCATGTTTCTGAGGAAGCTGTCCTCCAAGAGAACGACGACCAGCAAGACTGGATATAAACAGTGCAGGTCAGCCGCTGCTTCAAGTGATGGACATTAATTTGTGTCAGTAGTTCCAACAGAGTCTTCAGCACAAATAGAAAAAAAAGAGTTTGAGTGGATTTGCCCTCTTTGTCAGTGTGTGCTTTTTCCCCTCTTCTCCTCTTGCTCTGATCAGCGCAGCAGCCACTGCGGAGAAGCAGGAGAGGGAGGACAGTGCTCACGCATGCAGTCTGGGCAGCTTGCATTTCCTGCGAGCACGCTGAATGCCACTTGGATTCCTCCTCTTTCTGGCTCTTTTCACGCGAGGAGAACTAAGACATTGTAAGTCTGCCAGGATCTGGTGGCCGCTGAAAAGGAGGGGGGGGCTGAATTTGTACCACACTGGGATCTTTTTTAGATTCGCACATAATTAGTGGCGGCACAAAGGGAGCAGCTGAATAGAGGTTGTCAGCCTCTGGAAAGGGGTGAGTAGGAATCCTTTCATATGAGATTGGTTTTGGAAGAACGCTCTTTTTACCCCCCCTCATCTCTCCTTTCGCTCCCCGATATCTAACATGAGCAAAGTGACTTGCCATTTCTCCCTCTCAAATCTTGCCTTTTTGACGTGACCGGATTTTCTTTGCCTCTGAGTAACAAATCACAAGTCACCATCAGCCAAAACACATACCAACAGAAAATGACACAAAACTGAGCATTTTTGGCCTGGGGAGTTACAAAATCATGGCGTCCAAAACGAGACGAATCTGAATGATTCAATGAACTTTTTCTCTACGACACTGCGGGATATTCATGCTAATGGATTTCCTCCTAATTGGTCTGTACTTAAAGTGGCCGCTAAAGAAGCCCCCCGGATTGATACTGTGCTCTCTGGGCATCTTTCTGAAAATGGTTCCCCTGGTGGGGGGGAGCTGTCCAAGGCTGTGCCGCTGCGACAGCAAGCTGCTGTACTGTGAGGGGCTCAACCTGACAGACATCCCCCGCAACCTGAGCAGCGCCACAGGCTTATCCCTGCGGGAGAACAACATCTCAGAGCTGCGTGAGGGGCAATTTGTTGGCCTGTCGCAGCTCACCTGGCTCTACCTGGATCATAACAACATTGAATTCGTCGAGGAGAGCGCCTTTGAGAGGCTGCGGCGGGTCAAGGAACTCGACCTCAGCACCAACCGGATAGAGAACCTGTCCAATGGGACTTTCAGACCTCTGCCCAACTTGCGCATCTTGGATTTATCCTACAATAGGCTGCAGTCACTGGAGCCAGACCTTTTCCACGGCCTTAGGAAGCTTACCAATTTGCACTTGCGCTACAATGCCCTGAAGTTTGTGCCTGTGCGAATCTTCCAGGACTGCAGGAGCATGCAGTTTCTGGACCTGGGCTACAACCAGCTGCAGAGCCTGGCACGCAACTCATTTGCTGGGCTCTTCAAGCTGACTGAGCTGCATCTGGAGCACAACGAGCTGGTCAAAGTCAACCTGGCCCACTTTCCCCGCCTCATTGCCCTTCGCACACTCTACATGCGTAATAACAAGGCCACCATTGTTGTCAGCACCTTGGACTGGACCTGGCACTTCCTGGAGAAGATTGACTTCTCCAACAACGCAATTGAGTACATCGAGCCGCATGTCTTTGAAAGTGTGCCCAACCTCAAGGAGCTCATGCTGGACTCCAACAAGCTAACCTATGTGGACCAGCGCATCTTGGACTCTTGGACATCCCTAAGCAGCATCACTTTGTCTGGGAATGAGTGGGAGTGCAGCCGCAATGTATGTGCCCTGGCCTCCTGGCTGAGTGGCTTCCAGGGCCAACGTGATAGCGCTTTGCTGTGTGCAAGCCCGGACACGGCCCAGGGTGAGGACATTCTGGACGCTGTCTATGCCTTCCAGCTGTGTGAGGATAGTGTAGAAGCCACCACGCAGACCTACGCAGCCACCAGAGACCTAGCCCGAGGCTCCATTTTCAAAGGGCCCACCAGAGGCCCATATGACCTACAGGATGTGGAGGGTGGTGAGGTAGTCACCAACTCCTTTACAGTGACCATGGCTGCAGATGACCTGGAGAGTACCATGCAGATCCACAAGGTGGTGACGGGCACCATGGCGCTCATCTTTTCTTTCCTCATCGTGGTGCTCATGCTCTATGTGTCGTGGAAATGCTTCCCAGCTGGTGTGAGGCAGGTGAGGCAATGCTTTAGCAGCCAGCGCCGCAAGCAGAAGCAAAAGCAGACCATGCAGCAGATGGCCACCATGTCCACGCCTGAGTACTATGTGGACTACAAGCCTAACCACATTGAGGGGGCCCTTGTCATCATCAACGAATACGGTTCCTGCACCTGCCAGCAACAGGCATCCCGGGAATGTGAGGTGTGAAACTTTGGCTACTGTCCCTGGATATTTCACAATCACATCAGATCAATGGATACGGGACATGCTTTGATGCTGTACCACACTGTGCTGCTCTCTGGAGGAGACTTGGATGGCATGTTCAGAGTGCAAAGGGGACAGAGACCAAGGATTTACTGCTGATTTCAATGGCCTCAGTGGCTTTCAGTGGACACAGCTTTAGAACAGGTTGACACAATGTCTTGGGGCTGAGAGGAATATAGGAACTAATCAAGGTTCTCTTGTGACGAGTGGATATTTGAGCTTTAATGTGTCTTTCTACTGCAGGAGATTACTAAAGCTACTGAGGACACCCAGAACACAATTTTTATTGTTGTAACAACAATAACAATAATGACAAGAAAATTTAAATGGGGAAAAAATAAAAGAGATGAGTCTGTGTAAAATATGTTAAAATCAGAAAAGCAAGAGTGGGAATAAAACTCAAGATGCTATACTATTTCTTTTGTAAACTATGGAAAAAAGGAAACAAATGTTTAAATAAATGAATTGCAATTCACAGTAGTCACGTTTGCAGGCACGTTTGAGGGGTGGTTTGTTGTCGGTGGTAGCTTGGGGAGGACTGTAAGTTTGGCCCTGCTGTATTTGTAGACGATAAATAAAATGAGCAGTGGGGATCTCGTCACTTCATTTGAAATGTTAAGCCTCAATCTGAAATTCAGATCTCCTCTACCACCTCCCAGTTCTTACTCTTTCTTCCCCATCTCACCATATGGGGGGAATGATCACTGTGCAGGCTTGCTGTTACTGTTGTAGTTGCTTTTTCTCTTCTTATGTCCCATTCTTTATAGATTAAGCAAACTAACAGAAGCCAAAAAAGAAAAAAGACTCTTACGTTCCGTTCAGAAGGTTTTTTTAACACAGTCAAACTATGAGTCACATGCTGTCTCTATAAAACAGGGCCGATGTCTTTTAATGGCTCAAAGCTATGCCTTTTGACTGCTTTCTCATGCTCAGTTAGTGTGTTAAATCTCCCTAAGACAGTGGTGAAATCAGAGCTGGACAAAAACCTAGCCTTAAACGTGGGCAATGGTGTTATAATGATTTAGGGAGACAGTTAAAAAACTGTATGATGTTAATGGTTGATCTGTTGGGGATCTCTGTTTGCTAAGCTTTTTTCCAAGATTTTCCTTTTTCAATAGGTTTCTTTAGTTGAGCAGACAGTGTCTCCTCTGGCAGTGGAAGAAAGAACATGGTTTCTGAAAGAAGGTACAGACTGCTCTCTAGTGTCCCAACACCAGCAGTAGAGGGAGAGAAGATACAGTAGCAGCAAGCCCTTGACTTTTCTTACCTAGGCTTAGTCTTTGTGTGTTTTTGGGTTTGTGTGTGCGTGTGTGTGTGCATGCATGTGTGAGCTTCTCTGTGTGTGTGCTGGTATACACTTCCAATGTGTGTGTGTGTGTGTGTGTGTGTGTGTGTGTGTGTGTGTTTGTCGTAGCTCAGCCCTGGGTGCCATCACTGCTGCAGAGTAAAGTATTTCGCATTCTGAACACATAGGCTGGTCATTTGAAGTAAACAAGGGTTCAATTACTTTAAACCAAATGACTCCTCCACTGCCTTCCCCTGTCACTCAATTTAAGGCATCTTGCTGTTACCACAGTGACAGGGCTAGGTGGGAAATGCCTCTATTAGACGTGTTTGAGTGCATATACCTGGTTACTTGAGCAAATGTGTGTGGGTCAAGCTTGGAACTGGTCATGCCAGGCTGTTTCAAAATGCATGTGTGGCCATAGGAACGACTTTCTTTCATCAAGTATGCGTGGGATGTACAAGGGAAACTGTGAAGCTAAGCAGGGATTTTTATAAACAGGCAGATGGTTTTATTCTGAACCTCAATAGCCCTGACACCCCTTAAACTTGCTATCAAAACTGTTCTATTTTCACCACTGTATTTGATCCATATGAGGAGCTGAGCCAAAATAAATGAAAATAAAATGTATTCCAGTTGTTGTAAATTATGCATACATGTGACCATATCCCCTCCTTTTTCCTTTCCTGATAAATCTTGTCTTGCTATTTTTGATCTTTTATTTATTTTTATTTTTTTGAGATTAAGAGATTGTTTTAAATTGATACGCTATTCAAATGTTAATATAAACATTATTTGGGGTAAATGTCTTCTAATCCTTGTTTGCTTTGAATGGCGCCATTCACAACATGCTCTTTTGCTAATGACGCATTCTCTGGGTTGAGTTGGCATTTGGGGGCCTAATGCAGCCGTGAAAAAGAAGGGTGAACGCATAACGAGGCACACAAATGCAGAATGACACACTGCAAAGAGGCAGCAAAAAAAGCATTGTTGCCACTCATGATCTCCCTTTCGCGATGCTCCAATTGAGTTCAGCAAACTGAGAAACAAAAAGCTCTAAATAATAGCAGCAGTGCACAATACCAGCACGCCTCGGCACTACAAATAGCAACAATGGGGCTATGATGGAGATGTGTTTATGTGGGGGAGAGAGAAAAAGTCTCTAACCACAATCCCACTCATTCTCCCTCTCTAACAATGAATGAAAGAGGGTCCAGAACACCCTCCCAACCACCCCAACAACTTCCTGTCTATTTTTAGGCCCTTGGCTTTGTTTATATCAATATTGCATGGGTTTGGTAACTTCTGCGGCCTATGTTGGCAGTTGTATTGATTTCTCCTCTCACTGTATTTTTTTGAGAGCGGTCATGAATATTTGAGGAGTTAGGGGTCTGCTGTAAGTCCGGCCTGACTTCATCTCTCCCCTCCTCTTTCCTGTCTAAGAAAGCCTCACAGGAGGTCATTCTCCCGCCAGAATGCACTGTTGCAACAACTAGCTCTCATAATTAATATGATCAGTGTGACTGTTGAAGCTAGAGACAGATCAGTAAGGATGGCTATACAAAGAATCTGACCAGTAACCTCTTTGCTTGCCTCTGTTGCTTATTTTTGGAAGAGTGAGATGGAAAGGGAGAAAGAAATTATGATGTATTATTTATATTATCTTTTACTGATACCATGGCTAATTAGCACATTGTGTGTGTGTGTGTGTGTGTGTGTGTGTGTAGCACTTGGCTAGGAGCCTAGAGTTTAACACTGGGAGTTTAAAGTCTGCTGTGAATTCATGCAATATGGAGCTATGTACTCTATGGGGACACAACTGTGGCATGTGGCAAGAATTAAGACATTTAACTGGTTAACCCTTAGAAGTCAAGAGTTATTATGTTTCTTTTGCTAAACTAGTCAAATGCAATCATGTTATTACATATTTAATTACATGGTGAATTTTGGAATCATGTCCATTTACATTTGAATTACTTTCTGTGTCAACAGGTTCAAGTCTGCAGTACTTTTTTCTGTTTTTCAAGAAATGAAAAAAAAAACAGGGCAAAGTTATGAAGGATGTTTTTCTTTCTATAAAACAAGAGTGTATGCACAACAGTAACTTACAGATTAGTTTTATGGTCAGAACTGATAGTAGTCAAAGAAATACAAGCCTTTAAGATTAATAACTGAACAACAAGCTTTGTGTTCAAGAGACTAACATTTCAGCATAAATATAAGATGAATATACACATATACATACACATTTGTCTATAAAATTGATCAGAAATGGGTCAGAACTGGAACTACCGCAGTAATAAGCAGAAACAAATGGCATGATCCTCCTGCACCTGATATGTGAAGGTCTTTGAGCATACAAAGCTGCCTAACCAATGATTCTTATTTTTTAAACTTGATCCATTGATTTCTCTGAGGCAAAACTATGTCCCATCAATCTGAAACAACCGTCCTAAACGTATTTGCATAATAAAGATCAGTTATTATTGGAGGAAATAAGGTGATAAGCACAATATCTCCATAGATATGGCTGTCGGGACAGAATGCACAAAGCTTGACAAATTAATTAACCTTGCTGGCTGTATCACCAGACTGTCTCTGGTTTTGTACAATAACCATCCATACAACAGCCATCCATAACCACACAGCCAACACAGGCTCAGAGGACGGTGGCCTATGCTATGCTTCTCTGAGGAACACAAACTGAGCAAAGGCAAATATCTCATTGCATGTCGGAATCATAAATAGCAACTGATTCAAAATGAACCTTGTTTTTTGATGCAGTTTTCTCTACAAAGGATATTGCAAGCAAATTTGCAGTAATTGTGACAGCATACATGCCTTCATTATTGTTGTGAGCAGTGATGCAAGTGTCACTATAATCATCCTTCATCATATTTCCCAGCATCTAAAGCAGGGATCACCTTTGTTGCAATTGTCGTCACAGGATTCATTATCATGTTTTTGCCATGAAACAAAAAACATGAGTAATACGAACTGTAACAGTAAAACACCTCCATGGACACAGCTCAGCCCTGCTGCCAAGAAAACATTGTGCTGCATGATAAAATGCCCTATGTCTGAGTTGTGAGCTCATTTGCATGGCTTAGCCTCCAATGCCTATTCTCATACAAAAACACCAACATGTTCATTTACCTCTGCAATGCCAAAGCCATGGCATATAACACTAAGCAGGAACATTACAGACAAATACATCCGCCACTGCACATCAGGCTGTAACTGATGAGGAAAAGCCAATATGTATAGTTTAACTCCATGAAGTCCATTAACTCAATGGAACATACATACTAACATACACTAGAGATGGACAATATCAGAAACATGTCAAGCAGATGTATTCAGATACGTCTGCTGACAACTGCTATAAAAAAAATATGGTATTGGACAGATGCTTAGATTTGACTGATATGTCCAACCCTGGAAGAGCATAATTTTTAGGTGATGCTAGGCTACTAAGCTAAAATATCTGCATTTTAATCTGCATTTTATTAATTTTACTGCATTTATAACTAATAGTGGTGATATTTTTCTAAAGGCATGAGTTTTGTCATAATCTTTACCCCAGTATGCCAAAAACAAGCACAGATACGTAAAGGATAGCCAGTATTTTGGGTTAGCTTCTAGCTTGCTTACTGTACTTCTGTTTCTTCTTGCACCATCTGTGGCACAGCTTCCCTCAATCAGCTGCTTTAGACGCCACCACGTTCTTGGGCCTTGTCCTCACAACAGGCCAGAAATCTGCAGCGTAACAACAGCTTCTGACAGCATGAATGACTTTTAATATTCACCAAACTGCAGCAGTGTCTAATACTTATAGATGTATGAGACAAATGACTTGAGACATTTGGACGTGAAACAACATTTAGCACCACTTCTGCCAGGCACACCACTGCATGCTTACACATATGCTACATAGGTTTATCTGTATATTGATTAGTTCTGTTTTTTTGCACAATAAACATATTTTAAAGTTACTTCAGTCGTTAAATATGGTCCTTAACAAAGTGAACAGATATTTAAAATAGGTTTGCATAAGCGCCTAAAATGGTAAAAAATACAAAATAAATAAGCTATTAGAAAAATGACCCTATAAATATATGAAAGTTAAATTTCTCTGTATTCTTCTTCTTCGTTTTCTTCTTCTTATTATTATTATTATGAAAATTTTTGGATTGTGCAGTAAAAAACTGCACAAGGAAGAAATCTCTATGCATAAATTTACAAAAAAGAAAACTAGCAGGCATATAATCTCAGCCAGCGCATTGATGCATCTCATGGGGTTTACTGTGTTACAACATATTCAACATTACATTAATATTTTGTAATATTTCTTATTCTTGGACAGGAGCTCACTAGAATGTATGAGAGAAATAATAATGTATATATTTTTCTGCAACTTAGCAGATATTTCTCAGCTCTCCCCTGCAGTATGCTTTGCTGTTATCCTTTTATGCAGATGGTGAAAAATGTATGAAATATGAGAGAATTTGGTATCTCTATTTGCTGACCATGAAATAAGCTTTTCACAAGGCCATGCGAATCACACGGCCACCTGAGAGCTCTCTCTCTCTCTCTCTCCATTCTGATTCACGCTCTCTCATTACTTCTCCTTCAACATCCCTGTGGCTTTTTTACATGTGAAAAAACACACTCTCTCCCACACATACACACACTGCAGACATGTAAGGATGACACTGGTTAAAATTAAAGACGTGTCTTCTACACGCATAACCTTTTCCTGCTGAACAATCCATGCGCACCTTCCTTGACCGGAAAATTAACAGCTTCTCCTGTGTCTCTTGGGAAAACAATCGAGGTTCACGCCTTAAACCAAAGCACCCACTGATATTTGTGTTTGAACCGCTCATCTCCCCCCACACACCCCACTCCCACCCTTCTCTCTCTCTCTCTCTCTCTCTCTCTCTCCTGACAGCATGAAAGTGGGGCTTCGCGGATATCTCTGTAATTTTCCCGTACACAACATCAAAGTGCTGAAACCAATATGGGATTCAGGGGGAAGCAGCATAAGGCATCTTGATTGCGCTGGGTACGACAACAGCTGCCACTGATCACAAACCCATTCAAGCCAATGGCTCTATATAATACAAAAGCTTTCTCTCTCTATTGACTCTTCCTGTCTTGTACACTTTCTCCCACTTGAGCAAATACACAAATGAAGGTATGAAAAAATCATATCTACATACATCTCTATTATACTTTCTGGCACAGATCAAAACACAAGCCAGTTGGACATCTTTGTATTTTTGAAGCTTTTGAAGGTCTACAGTTATTGTTTTTCAACACTACCAAAATGTAACAAAATAATTGCATACTACACTACAAAAGTAGTTTATATTCAATTACATTTACATTTTGTATTAGCAGCTTAAAGTCTCTAGAGTTTTTCCGCCTGTTTTGATGTCAAAAAATTATATTTAAATATCTCCTCTTCTACTTATGAACACAAATGTGGTTTCAACTGAAAATGTACAATTCACGCTTTGGACAGAATTTCTCTGCAATTAGTAATTAAGAAATTAACCTCTTCAGGCCCCCTAGTGGCCATTCTTATGGTAGAAATCGACTCAGATATTAGTTAATATAATCACAAAAGATGGTCATGCTGAGTTAAAACAGACAGCACAGCTGCAGCTTTGTTGATATATAATTTGTGCCACAATAAAAATACAGCATAAATAAAAATATTTTTAATAAATGTTGACTTACTTGCTCATCTACAATAAAAATTCAGTTTGCTTCCAGTTTATACATCATACAATTTCC